TTGTCTTACCTGTGTAGGCATAGCCTAGCATTTAGTGCAGTACTGTATGTATGTAGAGAATACGGAATACTACTCTACTGCCTGGCGCGGCCTAGGCCCCCCTAGTTTAGGCCTAGGCATACAAACTTTAATAATAATATTTTAAACATTAGAGGCAAACAAACAACACTATTTTAAATAAAGTACATTAATTTACATGTTAATTATTAGATCCATGGAACTATCTAGGATCTACTACTACTACTATTGCATTACTAAAATGCCAGTTTATTCGTCGTGGAATGTGGATGATACCTTGAAAACTAGCTCAAATTTGCGCGGAAAATGGCTTTGAAAAATGTGCAGAGATATATTGGCAATGGTTATATACAGTATAGTTCAAAAACTAATTTTCAGCATTCTGCTCGGAAATACAACCACCTACACTAGGCGTTTCCCTGCTGGTTCCATGCTGGACCAAAAACTAGTAGAGGGTCAAATGTCCAGCCATTTTGATGGTCAAAATACAGGGGCATTATTATTACTGTACATTAGAAAAGGTTGAGAATCAAGATAGTCTATTGTACATATATTGTTATTGTCTTCATTTTTAAACTAATGTTTATTTTTATATTCCAAAAAAGTATTATATTAATGAAGTAATAAATTCTATTCAAAATAATTAGGTTGCAGCTATGTTACACTATTTTGCAATGCATTTGAATATGGGCTTTTCACAGTGATGGTTAATAGAATATATAGATTTTCAACAAAAATTATTATTGATGATTAGTGCAAGAATGATTACTTCCATATAAAGATATTGTACTGTAATATCAATACTAATTATTTTTGAATGGTGTAAGAATAGTCACTCTGATTTTTTTTATTCATGTGGTAGGATTTTAACAGGCTAAAGAAATCTGACAGAAGGGTCATCCCATCTTGCACTGTGTGGGCGATTAGGGACAAGTTCCCAGAAGCTGTGAAGACTGCCTGGGTTTTTTGATGCTATAGAAGATGATGAAATAAACTTTGTGTTGGAAGAATTATTTATAAATTGTTAT